CTCAAGAGCCCAGATGACTTGTAGCTGAAATTATTGAAGGAACCTTGGATTTGGTTTACTTCCACATTTCCTGGGCATCTATATACCAGGCGATACGGCCTGCTAAAACCAATTCTATCATTAGTTTTCCATGATGTGCCCATTAATAATATGATTTTACTATAATATAAAATACCACATTTAAGATGCTTCCTTTATTTTAAAATGATATAATTAAATACAGAATTTTAAAGCATAATATAACAACATAATATTTATCTGAATTAATTGACATTATTTTATCACATGTTTTGTTCTTTCCTGTCCCTTCGTGCTCCTTCTAAAGTAAATACAAACACAAAACAACACATTGCAGTGGAAAGAGCCCTGTACTAGAAATCTACGTACCTGGATCCTACTTATAAGTCACTTGGGTGAATTTGACCAGTTGTTCAATTTCTTTGCGTTTCACTGTTCTCAGGGACTCTAGGCATCTCTAGCAGTAAAATGCTTTTCCAGTTAGATCTGTAGATGGAGATTTGTTTAGGCTGAAACACACACCTCGATGGATAACTAACATAATAATTTCACTTGAGCAGACCTGCAGATATTCAGAATATATTACCAATGTTTTGTTTTGGTTGAGCTATTTAACTCAATCAAGTTTTAACAAAGCAACTTTTCTTCATCTTTGAACTTTTAGCAATGCATAAATGCATTAAAGTTCCACTTTCATGGAAAGACTGTTTCTTCACCCGTACACACATAAATGGTAAAGCTTCTCACAGAAAGAAAATGAATACTTTGGTCTGAGATCACAAATAATTGAAAAAAAATGTATACAGTTTCATCATGTGTTTTGTTGGAAGCAATTTTCACTCTACCAAGAACTAAAAATATCATAGTTCAATCTGTCCATATTCAGACACTCTAGAAGAGCATAACAGAGTAGCACTTAGAAGCACTCACTTATTCACTCATTCATTTAATTATTCATTTTCCTTTACCAAATGTATATTGATGTTCCAGATTCTGTTCTCAAGTGTTCATAGTCTAGTGAGAATTTTTGAAAAAATAGAGAAGAAAAAACTAGATTTGTAAAGAAACAAATAAATGCATTGAGAGTCAGAGGATGAAGTGTACACAGAGCATTCTGGGAGCACAGAGTTGTCAGGGGAGTGGATATAAGAGAATCCAGTAAGACATGATGGCTAGGCTTTGAGGACTTACTAGAATTAGCCATGTTCCAGGCAGTTTCATCAATGAGAATTTGAAAGCTCACAGATGTTTGACATTTCACTGGATGACTCCATGGCAAGTAGGTTATTTGGGCCTTTAATTCAGTTTTTCCCACTAACTTTGGACAAATGCATCAATGTCTCACTTTCATGAAAAGTCCATGACAGAGCTTTTATTTTTATCTTTTGAAATTAAAACTTCAATCATCCAATAGGTCTTAGAAATCTTTTTTTAACAAAAAATTCTCTTTTTCTAAAAAACCTTGGTACTAAAAGAAAAACATAGAATTAATAGTACCTGTTTGTCTGCATATTCCATCTGTAGTGTCTCTTCCTTGCCTCACCTTGGGTACTAATATGATTTGGTGTGGGGTTGAAAGTGACATCGTTTAGAAAAAATATACTGAAGGAAAGTGAAGCATTAGTAATTCTAAAATTTTTGAAAACATCCCAGTTGACGGTATGTCTAGAATCATGGCAATGAGTTCAGGTGTTAAGGAACTTAGTCTTAATTCACTGAGGTTCTTTGATGGGTTGGTTGATGTCAATTCAGCATCTAATTAAAGTTAAACCGAACATGAGCACTGAAGACAACTATATAACTTTTTATATTAGGAAGTGAATATTTTCAGTCTTCCAAAGATTATAAGTCACTTATCATAACTTATCAAAAATTGTCAGTTACATCGACTTTCTAAATAGGTATTAAATAAATAGGAAAAATATGTGAAAAAACAAGCCTTAATTTTAAATTGGATTTGCTCTCAATGTAAGACCTTGGTTAAGCCACTTATTTTTCTAGAGACCATTTTTTCCCATCTGAAAAATTAGGTTGTTGAAATAGCTGATTTCATAGGTCCCTTCTACATCCCCAAACTCTATGATTTATCCTTCTATTTTTGTTAAGTCCTAAACAGCAGGGTACATAATCAAAGTACAAGAATACAGGGAACAATGATATGATCTTGAATCAATCTCATTCCCTTTTTTTAGTTGACTATTCCATGAACATCTTTTTCTACTTCATAAATTGAAAATGAAAGGGAAAAACAGAAATTCTACCTTTATAATTTTTAATCAAAAGAATGTATGAAATATGTATTGGCTACTTTTACTTGCTTTCCATCAAAGTGAATATGCAAATATATAATAACACATGGAAATATGAGGGAAGCTTTTTTCAAGAGGCAAAGAAACCTTTCCAGTAGGAACATTTTAACCTGGAGGCTGCTCTTTCATATAAGAAGTTGCTGGTTTTGGTGTTTTAAACACATTTATATTACTGTCACATAGCCAATTAATACTAAATAACTATTTGCTTAAATTTTTCTAAAATAATGAAAAAATCTAAAAATTAATGATTATTAACATATATTATTAGTTACACAATGAAATAACTGTGCTATATATAAGTCTTCCAGTAAAACTTGAGAACTTATCATTCAAATGACAACATCACTAACTCATTAGTCTAAAAACAGTGTCTAACTGGGTAATCGGAATATTTGCTGCCTTTTACCTGGGCATTATGCTTCTCATTTGTTTCCAGATGTTTGAGTCAAATTATCAGTCACCCTTTACTCCTTTTTCTCAGTTCCCACAGCAAATTTATTCAAAATTCCTACTGGGCTTAAGTCAAAATGTACTCTGAATTCATTTACTTATCTATACTTTCTAAGTTTTTCATTGACCATATATTTCAAATTACCACCTATTATTCTGAATAGCATTTCTTAGTACCCTTCCTTGATACATTTTAAGTAGAATACTTATTTCCATTTTCCTTATTTAATTGATATGTTTTGTCTTTTGGGTAGAATGTCAGGTCCGTGAACTAAGGGACTTTGTCTTCACTACTGTAACTCCACATCCCAGGAAAGTACCTAGTGTTAGCAAGCACTCTATAAATACTTATTGCATGAATGAATCTCCACTACAACCCACCTAGTCTAGGCCCACATCGTCTCACCTGGTGTATTTCAATAATCTCCAACTGATATCCTGCTGCCTCTCACATCCTTTTCTTTACAAACGGTATTTTTGCACATACAACATCGGTGGTCTTTTAAAAACCCTGTATTTCAGACTAATCCCTTCACAAGCTTACTATTGTGCTTAAATAGCGTTTCAAAGTCTGTTCCAAACTCAGTGAAATAAACTAGATTCTCTAATAGGAGCTTGTCTCTGCTCTACAGCAAGGCTTTTGACTAGCTTTTTTCCCTGTTAGGAAACCTTTTATCAGAGATCTTCAGGAGGTTTTCTCCTTTGTGTTCAAGTTAGAGCTCAAATGTCTACCCCTTGAAGAGTGGGCACTTTATACATTATGCCCTGTTGTGCATTTTTTTGTGCTCACACAAAGGCCCTGCCCTTTGCTCCCTTCCCTGAGACAGCTTGCCTTGGGCTGGGGCTGCAGCTGCCCAGGGCAAGAGCTTCCTCTCAGTTTTGCACTAACTCCATCCTTTTGGCCAAAAGTTGCCACCATGCACAGACCCAGAGAGTGCATGCTTTTCTAATTTGCACAAAGCTCCGTCTATTTATTTAGAGGAGTCCTGCTTTGTGAGGAGGCCCTACTCTTTCCTATCCAGAGCATGGTCTATTTCTCCTGCCATTCTCTGCCTCACCACTCTGTCTTCATGTTTCTGTATCTGTGAGGTCTGAAAGGATCTGTCTTGTTTATCATCTCTCCTCCATCTCGGATGTAAGCTCCATAACACCAAGGTCTTTCCCTACCTTCACTGGGACCCCTCAGTGATTTCATATTTGCTGTTATGTCCATAGCACTCACCATAACTCAGCTGGAGCAGACACTGTTGTTGTTATTTTACCTTGAAACAACTGAGACTCAAGTGGTAATTGCCTGTTTACTGTTTGATCTCTCCACAATACCAAGTACAAGGAGTTCAAAGTGCATGTATAGAATTTAGCAACACACAAGAGGGAGATACAAAAATGCCTCTGATTACAGTGAAAACCCCCTTGATGCACCCACCTAATAAAACTCCTGAACTCCTTCCCATGATTCCTTATTGGTGAGGTTACCTTTCCACAGGCACGTTTGCAAACCCAGGAGAGATGGGGTAGGAAAGGGGGGAGTGGTTGATAAATTCCTCTGGCTCCCTCCCTTTATTTTGTAAGGGGCCCAAAGGTACAAAGCAAGAAAAAAGACTCTCAGTAAGAAAACCTGAAGGTCAAGGTGTGCTTATTTTAGTAAAAGTCACTGACACAATCACATCTCAGCCTAACATGTAAAACCATATTTTATTTAATTTTAATGTTTGTTCAATTTTAAATGTTAAAAATACTATTCTACATGTTACAAAAATAGTGAGACTAGAGACCATGTCCCAGTGCATAAAAGTAATATTGCTTTAACAAACTTGGCTATCTTTTTTTTTTGTACTAAATTCAGATATTCCCATTTGACCTTTAGTCATAGTTACAAATGCCTTCTATGAAAATGAAAGAACAAATTGAAATAGAAATTTATAATGATTTCATATTTTGTATTTCTAAAAAATTTAAATGGAGCCCTGGCTGGCATGGCTCAGTGGATTGAGCATTGGACTGTGAAACAAAGGATCTCGGGTTTGATTCCCAGACAGGGCACATGCCTGGGTTGCAGGCCCGGTCCCCAGTGGGGGTTGCATGAGAAGCAACTGCACATTGGTGTTTCTTTCTCCCTCTCTCTTTCCATCCCTTCCCCTCTTTCTAAAAATAAATAAATAAAATATTTTTAAAAATTTAAGTGGATTTTAACTCACTAGTTACTTACTAGAGTAATACCTTCTCTATCCCAGGCTCTGTGGCCATTCATTGCTTTCAGTACTGAAGGCTTTCAAAGAGTTCACTGTCTTCTGATGTACCTACTCATTCATTACCTCCAGGAAAATGCACTGGGTTCTGAAGGAATAAAGTAGCAAGCATTAGAGAAAACGAATATCCTCAACATTTGTTTCACGATTTGGGGGTGTTAGATTCAGGACTCTAGAAATGGTTTTTAATCAGGGAATCTTTAATTAAAAAAATAAAACTAGGCAAATTAAACTTTTGAATGTAGAAAATTGGTTTTTGCCTTATGCCATCTGAATTCAACTTGTAACCATCCATGTGAATTGAGATTCTGAGTAACTTCATTCATTATTTCTAGCAAAGTGAAGAAAACATCAAGTGATTTAGCTCATTAGAAGGAATGCACACTGTGTATTATACCCAGCGAAATTTGACTAACCGAAAGCAATCAAACTGACTTCTATGAGATGTAAAACTCAAAACAATAAAATATTGGTACCGTACAAACATGCCATTCAAATTTATGGAAATAATTCAATGAAAATCACTCAAGGAACAAAAATAAAGCCAATTCAGTATGTTTGAATGTCAGAGGGATTTTCAGGTAATAGTTTATAAAATGAAGGGGCCGTTAGAGTTCCAATGTGAATTTCAATGAATTAAATCTTTCCTTCAAAGAGTAACAACAATCCTCAGGAATTCCAAAGAATACACTCCTAATAAAATTATAATCCTTTTTCCTGTGAATGAATTTTGTTATTTTTATCATTTTAATTTTATTTGTTATGTCTTCATTTTCTTACTTGAAAAGTCTGTTTCAAGTCTTCTCATGAAAAGAGATGGGATATAAACGGTAAATTCATTAATGGGAAAAGAATTAATAATTTGAGTATTTACATGTGCTGGCTGCTTTATCCCTTAATCCTTATAACAACAGTAAAAACTATTCTAATTTCATGAAATAATGCTTGGAATCTTCATGAGATTTTTAAGTTCACACAGATTACAAATGGTGAGGCTGAAACTCATATCCATTTGATTCTAAGCATAAAGTCTTTATACTAAATATTGCTTTCAAAATATTATATCAATATAAGCATATTAATATAATATAAAATTATATTAATATAATATGATATTGATACAGTATATTGTACAAGATGGAGCAAAAGTAGGTTTAGAATTATTTGTATGGAAATTAATACAATAATTAATAAATAAGAATGTAAGAATAATCTTTGTTTCACATACTCAAAACTGTAAACTTACTTTTGTCCCACCCTGTATAATATTGTATATTATATATAATATATTCATTCATGATAAAATTGTTTCTAATTTCAGTAGTATTTTCTGTCATTACTTGAATATATATACATATATGCATAAATAAAGACTTTTCTGTAAGTCAGTACTGAATTCATGTGTTGTGTTCAACAACGAGAAGCCCGATTTGTTTTGGTGCCTCCTGGTTCCTACACAAATACTTGTCCTGAGCTAATAATGGCCCTGCTAGGGCTGCCTGTCACTGTGAGAGCAGAAGCAGACAGCCACCTGGGTTCTTCTTTCTCTTTTTGATTTGATCCTACTTCCCATTGCACCCACTGCTTCAACAGTACAGTCAGACATATTGGAGAGTATAATATAATCAATTATAGCTGGAGAGGATTTCTGATAGAAACTGGATATTGTACTTCACACTGAAGAAGCACCAGTTTGTTTGCTTTAATAGTTGTACATATTTTGACATCTTTTTTCACCAGATTTTCACTCCCTGGAATCCATTCTTCTCTACCTCCCTTTACCTGGCAAACCCCTTTTAGGTCTTTAAATGCACATTACAATTAATCTCCTCCAGGAATCCGTCTGCAACATCCTCTCTGAATACATTGTTTCCCATCACCACACTGCATTATAATGATCTGTCTGTAAGTCTGTTTTAATCAGTATATTGGGAACTTCTTAAAGGCAGGTTTGATGTTTAATGGTTCTTCAGTGCTGGTACATGATAAAAGCTCACTAACTGAAAAAAATAAAATAATGACTTTATAGCTTCTCCAGAAAAATCTAAGAATATTTTATAACACATAGTATAAATATTTTTTCAAGAAAATAATTTTATATATTTTGAATTAATTCCTAAAGAGCTTGTCAAGACTATAAAGATTATGATTATATACTTATTACTGCATGGAAGTATCTGACAGAGGAGAAAACAGCTTGGGTTGAACAGGCACCATTCAGTGAAAGTATTTTTGAAAACCTAAGTACTTAGAAACAATTGAATTATATTCACAGCCATTTGTACTTTAGGCTTTAGTCATTTAATTGACTCCTTAACTTTGAATTGTCCTTAGATTTAAAAAATTACAAAACCATCCTACCTTAGAAATATTTTTTTTCCAAAAACAGCTGTCAAGCAAGACTTGGGAACAAATGTTTCCAAGTGTATCTCCCCTTGACTTGCAAAGTGTGTGAGAACAGGGTGGAAGCTCTTCGCCCCCGTCCCTTCCCAGCGGTGTCATGGACCCCCTTACAGATGATGCTTTGCTTGCCTTAGACACTCAGAGAAGCACTTCGAAAACCTCAAATCTAGAGCCTGCATGGAAATCCAGCCCTACGCCTCAGGGGGTGAATGGTCTGAACCCCTGTTTGCCTCAGTGTCATACAGTAAAATGAACATTATACTTACACATTAAGACTCTGGTGAAGATCACATGACTCGTTCCCAAATTGTTTGAGATTGCTCCAGGCACAAAGTAAGCACTTTGTAAACGTTAGCTGGAACAAAATCATGGGATAAACTTTTCTTTTCCAGTGTGCCCAGCCTTACCTTTACTTTGCTTGCAAAAAAAGGAACTTCCATGTTGCATTATGTTTCTATCAAATCTTTGTTCTCATGAGGAAAAAAAGTAATAATAATATGGACTGCTATTTTTCTAGGTATATGGCCTGCATATTATGAAACAATATGCTTTATTTTTATGCACAATTGAACATACTCATGAATCAACCAATTGGCTCTGATAACTAGAAGAAACTCCTGTAATGAAGAGAGGTTAACCTCTTCCTCACATGAGGGTCTAGGCTTAGAATCCTGCCCTTTTCATCACCAAAGAATGCCTGCGTGCAGCTTGAATTGCTCGGCTTGCTATTCCACAATTCACCAGAGCAAAGTAATTTTGATGAATTCTAAAAAAGGAAAACTTCCAGTAAGCAGGCGGGTCTGCTGACATTTGATAATATCCAGCTGTCAGTGAGATTTCAGAAGGTGTGTATGCCCACAATGATTCCTGGATTAAAATGTACCGCACAGCAGGAACTCATGAAATAAAAATTAACAATAAAACATTTTACGAGGCATTTCATACAGAATCGTATGTTAGTTAATGTTTACAGCTCATGCCCCGGATGGTGTTGGTTAATTAGTCACTCAGGATAAGGAAGCCCTCAGAAATGACTGTGGGTTTTTATATAGTTCATAATAAGCTCAGAGACTTCAGGGAACCTTTCAAGCTTCTACAAAGCTGAATATATTTTCCCTCTGGCCCATTATTTACTTAACTGCAGGTCATTTATTTTGGCAGGGAAAAATGTACCTGTTCAACCTCAAAAGACCTATGAATTTTAACCTTCTTTTCTCGCACTATTATACCATTGGATAATTTTTAGTTAAATAAAAAGGATGATTTTTTTTATATTAGGATTCCTCTCAGCTTCTGTGATTTTAGTTTTCATAATTTAAGGGCATATTGAAAATAAATTGTGTTATTTGATTGCATGTGGGTTTTTCATTAATGAAGTCCAGTAAATATATTTAACATTGTGTATACATTTGTGAAAAATAACATATTCAGAAGTGGTTCTGAAGATAGCTGCATCTGTGTGTGTATCCACCTAAGGATCTCACCTAATAACAATTTTTCTATTGCATAATGATATAAATTTATACTTCAGATTCAGATTATGAATTATGCACACTGGGGATAGATCAGGCTATTTTAGTTGTGAAGATTAAATTTGTTGATAGTTTCCTCAATATCTACTTCTGATTGTATGCACAGGACAAAGCCCAGCCATACCACCTCCATTACCAACACAACAAGATTCCAGCACCACTCCAGCTTCACCTGCTCTTGAAGGTAAGTATTGCATTACAGTTTTCCCAAAGACCTTCTCTGTTGTAGACCAAATAGAATGTAGAAAAATAGAACAAAAATATTAATACCAGCAACAACAAAATTCTTATTTTTATCAAATAGTTTTAGTTATGTCTACACACTACAGAGCTACCATTTATTTTTTTCTAAAATTACAGTTTGTTCCTTTTTAGAAAACCAAAATTTTCTTCTTAAGATTTTATATGGGTGACCCTGGCTTCTAAAAGAATGACCAGCTTTGTATCCTGGAAATCAACCACAAAACTATAGGGATGCTTTGCAATTCTTGCAGTTTTATCATAATTCGATCAATTTAGAGTTTTAAGACTCTGGTGCCAGAGTTTCTGGGTACAAATCTGAAATCTCCCTCTGACTAGCTGTGTAAATTTGGGAAGTTACTTAAATTCACTGACATGAGATTTGTCATCCTTAAAATGACAAGAATAACACTAATCTTGTAGAGTTATTGTGAAGATGATATGGTGTATGTGTGTGCATGCCAGTTTACAAGTGCTTTATGAAATTAGTAGTTATACTACCACTAATCATTTATTCTTCAAAAAGTAATGTTGAAGATCAGCAAAATTAGAGGATGGGAGTATTATCATAAGCAAATTTGCTAAAAAGTTAATAGCATTTTATAAGTCTTTATTTATTCCTTCAACTATTCTTTATTAAATTCCAACCCATGTCAGATACTGTCTGAAGTACTAGGCATTCACATATTAATAGAAAATATTTCTTGCCCTAGCAAGACTGAGTTTGCAGATACAATAAAAAATAATTAAAGAGAAGCCCAATACAAAACGCAAGTCATTAAAGCCAAGTGCACCACTAATTTTTGCCAAGAGAGAAATGGAGGTCTCCTCCAAGTCACCACAGCACCTTTCCCACCCTAGCTCTGTCACACACTGAAAGGACCATCTGCGCGTACCTGTGGATACTAGCCTGCTTGTCCAGGTTCTGTCTACTCTGTCCAATACCTACCCGTTGGCTTTGACAACCCCTTGAGATGACGCGTGATCAGACTTAGTGAGGATTCATTCGGGCAGAGGTCCCTGCAGCCACTGACACGAGTGAGGATGTCTGAGGAAAAAATTCAGGGTCTCAGGATCTGGAGTGTGAGGGAGAGAAGACTTCAATTGGCTACACCCTATCTTCCCACAGACTCAGACCCAGGGCAGGAAACAATTGGAGAAGAACCCAGAAGACCCCTGTAAAGCAAAGAGAGTCCAAGAGGGGCCTGGTTGTTGGGTTTTACAAGGTATACTAATTACCACAATGTGATAAGACCCCCCCCAAAATAAGTCAGTAAAAAGTGAAAAATTCGAGAAGGGAGGGCTTAGCTCTGTTTGGAAGGGGTGAGAAAGACCCAAGGAAATGCTTCTTCCTATAGGGGGTTGTGAAACGTAAATCCCAAGAATAGGTGTCCATTACACAAGGAAGGAAAGAGCATTACTGGTAAAATGACTGGCGTAGACAAAGGCATGGAAATGGGTAAGAAAAGAGTTTGATCCAGAGAAGTATGTGTGGATAGAAGAAGTGTAAGTATGCAGAGAAGGAAGAAGACATGGAGAGAGTTTAGAACCGAGAGAAAAACATGCAGAGGGCAGGTCATGAAGTAACTTAAATAGGCAAGCTTGAGGTTTATTTTTATACTTAAAGTTTTATTTTGAAACATTAAAGAGTAAAGTAAATTCCCAATATACTCATCCCACAGATAAATTCATTAGCTTTTGCTATTCTCTTCTTCCCTTTTTTTCTGATTGCATTTTGTTTGGTTTGAAAATCACTGACCTCGTGCTCTTCAACCAGCTCAGGGATTTTTATTTTCTTTTAAAATTTTGATACATTTACATGCTAACAAATGTTAAAAGTACAAAAGTGATGTAGGGTAAAAAGTTTTCCAACTGACCCTATTCATGAACTGCCCAGTTCTCCGGAGAGGCAGCCTCTGGTAGTTTCTTCCAGAGATATTTTGTGCGTATACAACCTCAAATGTTACCTAATCTGCCTGGAATATTTATATTTGTCTTGAAAAGATGGGGATGTGATAGACATGTTTATTTAGAAAGATTGACTTTGCTGCCATCCCACAAGGTAGATCAGTATAAGGAGATTGGTTGTAAGATCTTGGGAAAGGACTAGTCCAAACAAACTCTAAACAGTAGTGTATTAGAAGTAGGAAAACAGATGCATCTGAAAGAGATTTGGAAAGACTGTAAATCAGTGTAAGTAGCGGATTAGATATAGATGCTGAGGGAGAAGAAGGGATTAGACAGACTCCAGGTTTTCTGAATTAGGTGTCCAGGTGGACAATAGAGCCATTAATTAAGATGGGAAGCCATTGATATAAAACAGGCCCAGTGATGAGGAGCAAGAAGCAGGGTCAGTCTGGGACATGAGTGTTTCCCATGGGAAATGGAATAGAATTACTTTCGGTTATACATTTATGTTTCACACATTCATTAGGCAGGAAAGGATTTGAATAGTTGGGAAAGTGAAGTTTTTCTAGGGTTATGTTTTTTCAATAGCATCCTCTACACATTTGGCCAGATCTTGATCAAGTCATGCCTAACCCATGGCTCCATTCTTTTCAACTCACCTTTCTCCAGAATATTATGTTTCCTGTACATATACACATTTTACATTGATATTCCAAGATCCTGTAAAGTAAACATTATTATTAAAAATCAACCATTGTGGCCACAGGATTTATTTATTAATTTATGCTGTATTAATAAATAACAGGTCTGGGATTCTATCCCTATGCCCAGGGAAGTTTCTGTTACACTACCATGCAGGCATTGAGGTTTGAGAATTATATGTTCATGTCTTCTGAGATGATAACAAGTTTTAGAAAATGGAAACAAAGTTTTGTGCTTTAGACTTCGAGCAGTTTTGTGATAGAAACGCCATGTTCCGATGTTAGTCAGCCGTACCCTAGCAGTGCTCCTCAAAAGGTCACGTGCCTACAAATCACCTGAGGACCTTATGAAAATGCAGATTCTGATTTGGGAAGTCTGGGGCTGAGATTCCCTATTTATTTATTTATTTATTTATTTATTTATTTATTGTTAGAGAAAGGGGAAGGGAAGGAGAAAGAGTGGAAGAGAAACATCAGTGTGTGGTTGTCTCTCATGTGTCCCCTACTGGGGACCTGGCCTGCAACCCAGGCATATGCCCTGACTGGGAATTGAACCAGTGACCCTTTGCTTCACAGGCCTGTACTCAATCCACTGAGCTACAGCAGCCAGGGCAGATTCTCTATTTTTACCAACCTCCCAAGTATTGCTGATGTTGCTGGTCCTGGACCTGAGTAGCAAATCTCTAGAAGATTTAAGAAGGAGGTGCTAAAAAATTTAATAGTATTTCTAAAAATGCATTTAATTTGGTATTAGTTACCTCAATGATCAAGGAGAATCAGCCAAATATCCTTCATATTTGCTGGAATGCCACATGTGAAGAAATTTTAACTGCTAGTTGTCTGTAAAGAAGCAAAAGGTTTCAATACCTAAGCATTCTATAAAGACTCACAAGGGAGCAAGAGAAATGCCATTGAGAATGGGGAGAAAGGTTTCATTGTAACTGTAAATTATAACAACCTATTACATAGTATGTAAAATATTTTGATTTGGTCATCTACAAGAATTGAATAAATTAGCATTTGAAAACTTTGGATAAAACCCCTTCAATCTGTAAATCAGTGCTATATTAATCCCAATATGAAAAAAATAATTTGCTTTTTATTAAAGACTATAATTTAATGCAAAGTTTATATGATATCTCATTCCAACATAACAAGTCAACATTGTTTCTTGAATATTAAGAAACTAGGCAAGATCTAGTCTCCCATTCAGTATAGCTACAGACACCTTTTTGTGGTCCACAACAGTTTCTTGCTTAATTTTTTATTGTTGACACTATTACACATGCCCTGCAATTACCCACCTTTTTATTTACTGGTTTTTACAGGTGATTATTTTTGATAGAGCAAGCGTCCCCCTGTCTCCATCAATGTCTATACCTTCTTTACCTATTCACTCACTTGGTTCCAGATTTTGTGTATGTAATAATTATGTGAAGATAATTTTCTTTTGATGTAATAATTTTTAAAAACTTATGATCAACCTTTGTGCCTTAGTGTGCATCAGCTACCTTAATTAAATCCCACAGACTGGGTGTTTGAACACCAGAAATTTGTCCTTTGGCAGTTCTGGAGGATGCACGTCTGAAATCAGAGTGCAGCATGGTCAGGTTCTAGGTGGAGCCTACTTCCTGGCTGGCAGGGCACCTCCTCTTGGTTGTGCTGTCCCATGTCAGAGAGTGAGGTCTGCCCTCTTCTCCTCTTCTTAGAAGGACACCAGTTCTGTGGGATCAGGGCTTTACCCTTAGGATCTCATTTGATCTTATTCACCTCCAAATGGTCCTGTCTCTAACGCAGTCACATGGAGTTTGGAGGGGACACAGTTCAGTCCATAGCACTTGATAAACTCTAAGCTTCATGAATATATAAGCAAAACAGCTGAAATGTTTATCTCATATAATTAGAGTTATTTAAATATTTCTTTTTAAGTAATCAATAATTTTTCCTTTTTTATTTCTGTCATGTATGGTTTTACTAAGAGCATAAATTCTAAATTTGCATCATCTTCTATACATGCTTATAAGTGATAGAAGTTAACTATTTAAATTTTTTTCTTAATCGAGTTTATACTGAAGGTAATAAAACAAACCTCTGAGTAATCTTATGACTGGCTACTAATGTGTATCACTTATCTAGCTAGTAAGCAAATGATTTAGGAAAAAAGTATAGAACCCAGCCTGAGAGAGACAAAAGAGGGAGGGAGAGGAAGGGAGGGATGGGGATTCTATTTCTTTGGGCATTTGGACTATAATAGCTTATGTGACTTGAGATAACGTGACACAAATCTGACAAGAGACTCTCTCATGGCCTAAACGTTCACAGGACAAGAGAGAGCCTATAAATAATAGTGTCACCTCAAGTTTCATCAGATTCTAATTCTGTTGTTGTTGGGAGGTGGACGTAAACCAAGGGATTCCGGTTCTCCAGTTCAAGGCAGATTTTGACAGATTATTCAAGTGTTTGACTCCAGTTTAACTCCTATCAGAGGCTGATAAAAGACAAAGTGGCAAATATTTTGCCTGTCAGTCTGTCACTTGGAAAAGGGATGTGTCAGTTGTTAAGTGGGATGCTTAAGTTCTATTGTTATATTTAAAGAGTGGTTTACGCTGACATTTTATCCTGGAACCCAACACTATGTGTAAGTGAATAACATAGCAGTGTTGCGGGATTGCAGGGCTTTTGTTAGTGTGCACTTTTAATTCAGAGAAAGGTAGAGTTTTTGCACTGAGGATGCTGGCAAGGAGCGGCTTCCTAAGGAGTCCACACTGTCAGGCAGTGCTGAGATCATAGGCTTTGTCAGGACTTGCAGATGTTCTGCCTGCGACTCCATTAACATAATTGATTAGGAACTAGGACATATTTAGTATTAATCAAGCTGTTTTTAGAGAGGTTAATTATGCACCGTCCTTGATGCACTATTTTAGTCTGGAGCTTCCTTGGAACCAAGTTACAAGAAAATGGCACTATACGGAAAGAAACATCCACATGGCACTACAGAGTGCGATTTGATTGGAGAGATAGACTTATACCAGGTCAAAATGCAGACATTTGAACGTATTTTCCACTTCGATGTTTAAAAAAGTAAAGCGGATATGGTGGGTAATAGGGGACTAAATGGTAATGGAAAAATAAAAATCAAATTTTTTAAAAGTAAAGCTTATATGGAGACTGAATTATTATTAAATTTGCTCACAGGAGATTGGAAACCAGTTAGAATTTTATAGGAGAAATGTAAAAAAGCATGTTCTATGCAGCAGATAGAAAGAAGGAGCTACTACCCTTTACAACAGCAGGGATGGAACTGGAAAGCATTATGCTGAGTGAAATAGGCCAGGCATTGAAAGAC